GCGGAGCCGGGACGGGGCTGCTATGGGCAGCGAGGCGGCGGCCGGCGCGGAGGCGGCGGCAGCGCTAGGTGCGAGGACGGCGGAGGGAGGCGCGGGGTTGGGGCCGGTGYGCTGCCCGCGCCGCATTCCCCTCCTGGAAGCTCCGTGCGGGAAGGGCAGGCGTTTTGGGAGGAGCGCGGAGGCGGCTGGAGCGGGACGTGCAGCCGCGTGGCCGAAGCGGTGGCAGGGAGAGAGCGGGGGGCGGCGAAAGCCGCTGCGCGCAGCCCGGCGGCGGAGCGGCTCCGTCCCGAGCCGGGACGTTTCCCTCGCGTTGCTCACGGAGGGGCCACGGGAGGGGAGCCGCCCGTTTCCCTGCGACGTTTCATCACCTRACGGGGCACGTGGTGCGCGGGAGCCCTTCCCGGGAAGCCTGCGGGCTCGTCCAGCCTCGGGAAGCGCGGGACGCTCCACTTGGACGGGCTTCTGGTGTGGCACCAAGGGGGCTTCTTATGCCAGACTCGCATGCCTGAATTTAGGATGAGGTGCTGCACTTTGGAGTAATTCCCAGGGCCAGCGAGGCAGAAATCTTGTATAAATGTTTCTGTTTAGGCATGGTTTATGAGTTGTGCCTCCCTTTATCATGTTGTGCTGTAAGATTGCTACTGTGCTTGTTTTAAGAAAACGGCACGCTGGAAGTGCCTGCCGAGGAACCGAGGAGGTTCACCAGGGAGCAGCTGTTCACGATGGTCGCAACAGCCTCCATCAACTTCAGCTCAATGATCTGCTATTCCATCCTGGGACCCTTTTTCCCTGCAGAGGTAAATCAATGACTAACCAGCCGATCTCTYCTTTTTTATTATTTTTTTTCTTTTGCATGTTGAAACTTTTTAATAGATCTTGAGCATCGTAGGACTTTTTTGGCCGTGTGTGAGCTCTGAGTTTCACTGCTGATTTGTGGGAATTCATGGTAAGAGACTGATGCTGGCACTAGTGTGTGTGGCAGCGAGCTGGATCCAGCCTGCAGACCAATTCCATCCTCCCTGTGGCCACAGAGGGGACGGGCACAAATGTCTSTCAACACTTGCTTGGCTTTGGGGTCTTCAGGGTTTCTGACAGGGCTTCAGCTCAGCAGCCACTTCAGCTGCTGCCTCTGTGGGCACCAGTATCTTCCACACGCTCTCAAGACCRTGAGACAGATCCCAAGCAGGTAGACAGGTATCCAGTCCATCTCCAGGTCTGGGTAGTCCTTATTACAGGAAATGTGAGATATCCCTGGATTGTATGGACAGGACAGATGAGAGAGAAAGCAAAATGCATGTTGGAGAAGTAAAATGCTTTCTGTGCCCTGTGTTGTGTAGCAGTTTGGTGGTAGAGCTGAGGTGAGAGCTCCAGCYGTGTCCTGACTTGCACTGCGTTGCCTTAGCCACTCAGTGACTGTTTTTCTTTCTGCCTCCCCACTTGCTGGCTCGTGTCGGCTGTCTCTCCTTGCATTAACGTACAGACCTCGCAACTGGGGAGGGGAAAATATCTTTCTCATGGTATGGAGTGAATGCAGTACYTAAAATAGGGATGAAACAAACTGCCCTAGTGCCTTTGCAGCACAAGTCCATTTTTTTTTTTTTCATGTCCAAGTTGTTCCCAATTATCCAAGCTAATAATCTGTAGTAGTTATTAGAATCACCTAATAGAAAAAAACTTTTTCTCTGAATAGCCAAGTGAAGTTTCTGTGCCTCAGGAACAGGCTTTGCCACTGCAGGCCCTCGGTGGGACGGGTCAATCATTTGCCCAGTATTTGTTATGGGGATACGATGAAGATAACCAACTTTTCTGCTTGCTGCCTTTCCGCTGTGACAGGGCTACAGCCTCTGTAACTGGCTCCCCTTGTGCAGCTTGAGGGATCTGTATAAAGTCAGCTCACCTGTTCAGCAGTGTGACAGAGAGCCCAGAATTTCCATTTTGTTGCAGAATGAACATTGATTTTTCCTTCATTAACTGTATTTGAAATAGAGGAACAGGATGTCTTTAAATTGCTGTGTTATGACCTTATGAACCTCCTTTCTCTTTGAGAAATAAGATAGCTTTGTAACTGAGCTGATAGAGAATAAAAGAAGAATTAGCACAAGGCTTAAATGTTATTTGCCTCAGGAGTTTGCTTTCATCTTTACTGAATTGTAATTTTCTTTTTCTCCCTCTGCAGGCAGAAAAGAAAGGTACCAGTAGCACAATTGTTGGCATGATTTTTGGATGTTTTGCATTATTCAATTTCTTGGCTTCTTTAATCTTGGGAAATTACGTAAGTATAATTCAAACTAATTTATTTCTGTCCTGACACAGGTTGATGCCTGAGGATAGGTCCATAAGGCAGGGTAGAGTGGTGTCTCTTCGATACTGCCTTGGGAGGCCTGTCTGTAGGTTTAAGTGGAGCCTGGCTTGTCAGTCTGAACGGAGATTGTCAGCACAGCTTAAAAATTCCTCTTCCCTACTGAGGATTCCTTTATCCCTATTGAACATAGGATAAGATGGCTGATATGTTTGTGGTTTGCTCTTCCTGTTAATTATTTTGTTTACTTCAGAATAATCAGTTTATTCTCTATTTTGCTTCTCTTTTCCCCTAACCTACTGTTCTCCACTATTTGGTCTAAAAAGGATACTGTCTAGTATATTGTCTTTCCCTAACATTTCCTCCCATTACAACTGTCTGTTTCTTGCATCCCTTTCCTTTCATCTTCATGCTGTGGTGAGTTAAATGTATCCATTACTTGCAACTTAAGTTCTCACACAGCTTCAGGATTTTTTTTTTCTGGAGAAATTACAAACAAATTACATGACAGTTTGTGTTTGTATGCTGAAGCACCACTCTTGGTACTTCCTTGGCTAGACCTGCTGGGTCATACTGTGTCTAAGTTAAGACTCCTGCAATTTTACCATGTTTTGCTGCTTTGGCTGCTCTACCCTGACCCATGGTGAATGTTTTTCTCCTGGGGATGAGGTGGCTCATCCTGCTGTCACATGGGCTCTCAGTCCAGCGCYGGGTGCCTGTGATGGCCTTCAGCCATGGCGCAAACCTCGCAGAGACCTGGCAGAGGGGAGGGCTCTGTCTTCAGCAAAGACACTGAAATGATCAGGTCTTTATCAAGTGAGGTGCGTGGTCCAACAGTCAAAAGTCATGAGGACTTCAGTGAAACTCAACAAACTAGAGRCTTCAGTAGCAATGACAGAAGCACAAAGACTTTKCTTTCTTCAGACCTTTGCCCAGGTSTGAACAGGCTGAAATGTCTGTTTTCCTTAAGGGAAATTACGGCATGGAATTAGAAGCCTGAATGTGCTTTTGCTAACTGGATTGAGTTAGCCTCATGGCATGCCTTTTGTCACCCATCACCCAAGTGAATGGCAATGAATGACAATGAAGCCTATTTCTGGCAATTTTAAGCCTGAGGAAGCTGGAGTTACCCTGTTTCCTATTCCAAAGCTTTGTAGAATTAAAGTTCATAGTAAAATTGCTGTTGAGTCTGACTTGGTGTCAGTGGCAGCACTGGAAGGGACTGTTACTCAGGGTGAGTGGCAGCTTGTAGTGGTGAGCGCTGCTGCAATCTGCCGCTGTCCAGAAGCGGCAGAAACCAGCTGTGAAACAGTTAACTGCACCAGTGTCTTACCGCCTGCAAGCTGCGTTAAGTCACTTAGCTGTTCAGAATATTTTTAGGTTCGGTGTTGTAYGGAGGCACACAGGCAGGAGCGCTTTCTCCAGATCTGTTAATTATGTTTTCTATGAAGTGCCCATAAYGATCTGTTAATTAACAACAACGTACTTTGAAATATTCCTGATTTAGTTCTGAAATAACAATGTCTAAAATGATATTTAATTTACAGCTTACACAAATTGGAGCAAAATTCATGTTTGTGGCRGGGATGTTTGTTTCTGGATGTGTTACAATTCTGTTTGGGTGAGTAATTTTTTTTATTACTTTTTTTTCTGATTTATTTTCATTCATATGAAAAGATGTTCATAAAATGAAATTGAAAACTTGTGAACATCTTTTAGGTGTTGGATAGGTCACAAGTTTCATCAGCTTTGCTTTCTATCCCTTCTAAAGCAGAGTGAACACTTGAAGCATATATGTGTAAATAATGACTCCAGTTAAGGGCAAGAAATTTGTCAAAGTGCAGCAGGAAGGGAACTACCTATGCATAATGTTTTAATTATTCATGCCCTTAAAAAGTTTTGGTTGCAAATGCGAAGATTTGCCTGCCAGCTAGTAGGAATAAGCTGCTTGTTTTAGCAAAATAAAGTTTTATATATATATATATGTATAAAAATATATATTTATTTTATATATATATATATATATAAAATAAAGTTTTATATATAGCTCTTATTAAGTATTTTTTAGTTGTCATATCAGGCTTCTCACATAGTTGATAGGAAAAGCTATGAAACACAGCAGAAAGCTCTGGAATTTGTCACAGGCTAGGAGAGCACTACTCTTGTCCTTTGTCCTTTCTGCCACCAAAGAAAGGGGAAAGGAGAAGGCTGACAAAAATAATTTGAGGGAAGTTGAATGACTGCTGCTACGGAGCAGTTCAAAAAGATGCAGCATTGAGACTCTCGTAACTGTGAGTGTTAAAGAAGCAGCAGACCCAAGAAGTGCATTTGCAGAAGCCTTTAGCAGGTGGCTTAAGAATTTGTTCTTTTTCAGGATACTGGACAAGGTGCCCAATGGACCCCTGTTCATCACGTTGTGCTTTCTGGTAAGAGCAATGGATGCAGTAGGTTTTGCAGCAGCAATGACAGCATCGTTCTCAATCCTTGCGAAGGCATTTCCCAGCAATATAGCTACTGTCTTGGTAAGCACAAAAATTACCTGTGCCTGAATTACCTGTACATAGCCTAAAACCAGTAGGATAAAAATTTGCACTTTCATATTCATATGTATTTGAAATTGTCATATGATGTTCATTCTTAATCTCGAATCACAATTCTAGAACAAGTTTACAGTTTAGCATAATTTCTATTAAATATAGCTAATCAAACAGAATGTATTGTTGCTTAAATTTTGAAGACASCTCACTGAACTGATGGTAGTAGTAATCTCTTCAGTTGAAACCAGATTATTAGAATGCTAATTTAGCTTTAAATAACCACCTAGGAACATTCATGACTCCAGTTTATTCCACAGATTTAAATAAWTCATGCAGATATGTTGATTTAAATGATGTAAATTTAAATTCATTCAAATAGGTTGACTTAAATGATTGAGAGATAGGAAACTGGAAATAACTTTGGTTTTGTTCTCCTTGCATAATCTATTAAAAAGTGTGGTAAGATCTTGATAAGATATGAGGAGAGCTAGAAATCTGAAGAGTTTGTGGTCATTGGTGATTCAGTCCAATTAGAGATTGCCTTTATGTAGTTGTTCTTTTTATACTGTTTTGGGAAAAAAACATGTCATATTTAATAAGATGCCTCTTTAATTCTCRTTTCAATTAAAGAAATAACTAGATTAAACTTTAGTAAATAACTGTTAAGAACATCCTTCACAATATTTAATAAAATTGAGATCATTAATGCTTTCAGTTCATGCTTGGTTCAGATTCTTGTTAAGTCTTACTGCGGTTTCTCTTAAGTGGATGCTAGAAAACTACTAAATTGCCTCAGCAATGAGGAACTGGTGTTTTCTTTGAAAATCGGGTAATACATTGTAATCATACTTTGAATTATTCAATTAGTAATGTTAAGTTCTCCCATTTGTAAATTTCAAAATGCAATTTAAACAGGTAACTAAAGTGACCTCAACTTAAAGAGCCCACCTGCAGGTAAAGGATGTATGTACAGTTGTCTATCTTAGCATCAGACTTCAAGAAAAATTAATTGTCTGAAACAGTAATAGCAACACACCAAAAACTGGACAAGCTGAGTTTTCCCCAGTGCAATTTCAGAGTTATTCCCTACTTAGTGTCACTAAATCCAGGCCATTGGTTATGGAGTGGAAGCTTTAGCTTAAAACACCTACCTGGCCATGGGTTGTAGCTTAACTTTGCCTGTGGGATAAGTGATCCCTTCTAAGGATGGTGCCTATCAGTGAAGCAACGGCCTTCTCTCGGGAGCTGGGAACATTTGGTGCCAGCAGAGTGGCTAACGCTGTTGTGGCTTCACATACAAACAGTTCTCAGTAATGCAGCAAAAGAGGTAGTAGCTGTTACCCAGACAACTGTAAAATTCCTTTTGCTYGCTGCCTTTGCAAAGGTTTCTGCTGGCTTTTATTCCCTGTGGTGATGAATTCCCTCTTTATTTTTTCTAGCCTGACTGCATTGTACCTCTCCTCAGACAAGTGGTTGGCTTTTTATTATACATTGAAATTTCTTCCCAAATTACTTTTTTTTTTTTTTTTTCTGATATGTTTTCTTTCTCATCCTTTAGGGTAGCCTTGAAATTTTTACAGGGCTTGGACTGGTGCTGGGTCCACCTTTGGGTGGCTTTTTATATCAGTCGTTTGGTTATGAGGTCCCTTTCATTGCACTGGGTTGCCTAGTGCTGGTCCTGGTGCCTATGAACATGTGCCTGTTACCGAAATACGGTGAGTGTCCTTCTGCCCAGCTCCTTTGGTGGGTCACCCTGAGACACATGTCTAAACTAAGCTTCAATTTGACACAGACATAAATGTCCCTTAGASAAACATCCCCTTCTGGAGCCTGATCCAGCTCAGAGGGCAAAGCTCCAGCCAAATTAATTTGTGCCCTTGATCAGGCCCGTGTTTTAATGCTAACTAAAACTAATGCATGCAGGTGGCCTAGAGTGAATGCAAACTCTTAAGTCCGTATCTGCAAACACTAAGCTCTCTGTATAGGAATCAACTGAGATACACAATGAAACGAAAATGTATGCTTAGCTTCAGGCCTTGTAAAGAGTTAGTTGTATTTGCTTAGGATCAGCTTATCACTATAGCCAGTTGAAGAAAGGCTGGAGACCTGTTTTGCATGGAAAAAGAGAACTTGACATATTTGCGGGGTTAATGCCTCCCCCTCAATTACTGGGAGAGCAAAGGTGGGTATTTATACTGTGTGATGCAAGATCTGGTTAGTATGAATGGCTTGTAAAGTCAGTAAACAGTGGTTTAACTGTAGGGCTTCAGATGATCAAATTTCCCTGAATTTTAGATAATGCTGTTGGGAAYAACAGTAGCTTAAAGATAAACCCTCATAAAAGATGATAGTTGTTAAGTTTCAGTTGCATAATAGTCTAGTGTTGACTTCCATTGCTTGTTAGATAGCAAGCTCAATAGAGCTATAAAATGGAAAACACTGATTTTTTTTTTTTTTTAATATTTTTTTTAAGGTGGAAGGGTGACAGGAAAATGACTCATAGGCTTATGCTATGAAAAAGAATGCAGCTTTTCTTTCTTTTTCTTTTGAGACAGATTCAATCCCTAGCAAGGACTCCTTTTGGAAGCTTGTTCTTCTGCCAAAAGTCCTGTTACTCTGTTTTATTATATTTTCTCTAAGTTCATGTTTGGGCTTTTTGGACCCCACAATGTCTCTGTTTATCCTAAAGAAGGTAAGTTGCCTTAATGTGCAAGAAAGTAGTGACTTCCTAAATAGTGGCTAATTGGTTATAAATCTACTTTAAATACTGTAAATATTATTAGATCTTATCCAAATACGAAATATTAAAAGCAAATGAAAACTAGAGTTTTCCACATTACTGACAAATCATGATTCCCATTTACCTCATCTATTGATACAGAATGTCTGCACTTCTGAAAATAAAGAAATCTAGGGCCTTTAAAATATATATATTTTTTCAATTAATAGGCTTTCAACTGCGTAGTCCTTTCTTTGAACAGGCACAGCAGTTGATTTTGTAAACTGAGACCTTCCTTTCATTATGAAAGGTAAATTCTGTAAAATTGCATCACACACACTGTGTCTATAGATGSGAAGATTTATTTGAGAGGATATTATGTTGCTGTTTTGATTTACGKTAAAGTAATGATAATATCAAACTGCTTACAACAATGTAGCCTGTTGGCTCATTTTTTTCATTCTTTAGAAGGCAAATGTTCTGGTACAACTTGAAGTCAGGTAGTGATTTTTGAATGCTTTATTTATTAATAATGTGTCTAGGTAATAGCATTTGACTGGTTGTAATGCTGTCATATTTTTTCCTCTCTAGTCCAGCATTTAGCGTATCCAGGATAGAGGAGACTTGGAGCTAACATGTCCCATCACTAGAGATATGAATGTGTTTTGACCATCCAGACAGGGCCTGTAACTATCCCACTGTAGAGTATGCACTAGCAGAAAGTCGCTGTAGAAGGACTGTAGCCTCCTTTGGTGAGTGTGTTACCAAAGTGCTAAAGTAGCATCAGTACTATGTTCTTGCATATGACAAGGAAATAATAAGTACTTAGATAGTTCCACGTGAACCACCTTGGAATAYCCTGTAAGTGGTAGCCCAGACACTCATTTGATGAGCTAACACACGTATGGCTAATGCCATACTTTGCTTCAGTACAGGAAGATGACTCTACATTAGGAAACTGTAGACCTCAGGGTTCTTGCAAAAATCCTCCTCTGTCTGAAAAGCACAAGTTGTGTTTTGTAGGACCACTTGCTTTAAAGATGCACTGATTTACAGAGGAGGGCTAGTGTGTCGGAAGCACCTCTTTCAAATATACCAGATATTGATGCCAGAATCCTGTGTGCTGGCCTAGGGCAAAGCTCATGGTTACCCTTAAGATTATTTAGGTTTGATTTGTATACAGTCATGTCAGCCCTTGTCACCTCACACTAAGACATGGAGGTAGAAGAAGGACAGAGCTTTTGCTAATGGCTTCAAATACTTCACAGACCCCTCTGTATGACACAATGAAACCCAGGACTAAGATATACACGTAGATTTCAACAGTTTGACCTAAAATACAGTTTTAAGAATGTCCTTCAATAAATGTTGCATATATGTGTTTAGATTCTTCTCTTTTCACAGTTTAAACTCCCAGCTGGTTATGTGGGCTTGGTATTCCTAGGTTTGGCACTGTCGTATTCCCTGTCATCTCCACTGCTTGGATTCTTAAGTGACAAGCTGCCAGTGAGTATTGCTCTGTTGTTTGYATGGTATTAATAAAACACTCTGTGGGTATGTGTATTWGTGTGTATATGTATAATATATAGTTAATACTGGTGAACTTTTGATACTATTATTTTGAAATAATAGGTACAGTAAAATGCTGTAAAAGGACCTGTCTTTCCTGCAATATGCTGATATTGCACAGAATCCTCTCAGCTTAAAGGTCTCCTGTGCAGGGCTCATGTAAGAATGTGAGAAACTCCAAAATCATAAAAGACAGTGGACAAGTACCCTTGTATGTACCCAGGGGACAAGTACCCTGAAGTATGTTAAACCTTTTTGGTGTACTAAACATAGCCCACTTTACAGCCAATATAGGAAGTGGTAAAAGTCATCACAGTTATTATTTCTTACCCTCCTAACTTTATCAACTTTAGGGAAGAAAAGAATAAAGATATTTGGTCAGCTGTTTTGACTTCTATCTGTTAATAACTGTATTATCAGAGTTACTTGTGTGTCAGCACCTATTGACTTTGTCAGGACAGCTAACTGGTTCTCTAGCTCATCAGTCCAGCTTTGATAGATTTATCTAAGGCTGCCCTGTTGACAGCCACTGATCAAAGGCACGAAACAACCTAGATCATGCATGATCTGCATGAATGACAATGCCAGTTTTCTGCTGCTTTTTTTTTTTTTTTCTCCTAACACAGACTAAGAGTGTCCTTTGGCCATACATTGTAATTTTGTGCATTGCTATATAGGATTTCTTGTCTTAAGGAAGAGTAAGACCTAAAACGGGCAGAACAGTACTACTCCTTACTCAGCATCGTGAAGAAACCTCTCTCTTAAGCAGCCCCTGCCAGCAATTCTGCTGCCATTTGTGGCCAGGAAAGATGAATTCAGTGTTTTTTTGCCGGTGTTCAAAATTAGCAGGGAAATTGTGAATTTCTAGCTGGTATGTAATGATGGTCTCTATAGGAGACCTCTATATAGAGGTATATATACCTCTATATAGGAAGTCTCTATAGGAGCTGTTTAGAAGATGAAGATTTAGAAGAAGAGGATTGGGAAAGGTGAAATGGCTACATTATAAACTCACATCTTTAAACAACATACCTTTTTCTTCTCTTTCACAGCACCTCAGGAAGTGGCTGCTGGTCTTTGGAAGCTTGATAATAGCAGCCTGCTTTTTCATGTTAGGACCTGCTCCTGTACTGCACATTGAAAGGTAATGGATTGCTTCTTCTYGAACCTCTTTGAACCACCTCCTTAAATGGTGTTTTTGGTCCAAACTATAATGACCATAGTCCCATTTGTCCACAACTCTCTAGTTAGCACCTCCAAACAGGAAAAAAAACAGTATTTTTTTTTTTTTTTTGCCTCAAACATAAGCATATTAATGTACATCAGTGGAAGTATCTGAAAACTGAGATGTGGCTAAAATAGAAATGACAGCTTCTTAAAATGGATTTTTTTTCTTTACATTTTGTTACTGTATTTGGTCATGTTACCATATGCAGAATGGAATCAGCACTACTTTTTATTTTCCTTTCCTCACAGTTTTCTGGCATTTRCCATGCAGTAAAAGTTGTCTTTTTGCCTTATTTTTATAATCTCAGTTTCATCAACCTTTATCATCTATGAGTTTAATGTGTATGGCTGTGCAGCACTGTTGAGTTTGCTGTCTCCCTTTGTAGATTACTGAGGAAAATGCCAGGATATAGCGTTGCTTTCAGCTAGCTGAATAGAGACAATGTCCATCTTACCTAAGCAGTGCATTGCCATTTTAATTCACAGCAAAACAAAGTCTGCTACATTTGCAAAACAGCTGTATAAACCTTTCCTAGATTATGTAGTCTGTTAAAGTTGGTGATAGACTTGTTARTGTGTTGAATTAGTCAACCCTTTCCTCCCATGACTGCCCTTTTAAAAAAAGGTAATGCGCTTTAAACTGACTCGTTGAGAAAAAGAAGTCAGTAACCTCTTCAACATTGTTTTCCTTAGCAAAGTCTTTTGGGGTATAATGTATTAGGCTACAAAACTTTACCTGCAAAATTCTTCTGTCATGGCACTAACYGGGTCTGGAGTTTAAACATATGTGTTGTCAAATTAAACTCATTTTCTTACTGTTCCTGTGCATGCTCCTCCTAAGTTGAGCTCCATTTAAAAAGGAAATACTTGACTCAATCCAAGGTTTTCCAAAGTTCTTTCACAAAGACCTTTTTMCATGGAGAGCTCTATTTTCCAATCCTAGCGTTCATTTCAAATGGAGTTCATTTTGGCTTCAAGAAACCTTTTCTGGTCAGTCATGGAGAGCCAATGCAGAACCTTCAGTGAAATGGTGTGCTGATTTGAAAAAGATTCCTAAACAATTAAGTACTTTTAAGTGTCTCTTTTGCAGTAAACTGTGGCTATTTGTCCTAGTGCTGGTTTTGATTGGCTTTTCCCTTGGCATGAGTTCTATCCCAGTATTCCCAGAGATCCTGCACTGCGCATAGTAAGTAACTTTGTCGAACTTATATTCCTGTTATCTTTCATTATAGAGAGGTCAAGTTATACTATATTTTCAAGAGTGAATGTTAAGTGGGTTTTTGATATGGCTTTTTTCCCCCTTTTGAGACAAAATTAGTATGTAATGCTTAAAAGCCTACGCTGCTTTTTGTCCTGTTTGTTTGATTAGCCACTTCATTGGAAAGCAGAAGTAAGGTAACTCTTGTGGTAAGCAGAAAGCCTGATGCATTTTCATATACATGTGATTTATTGCAGCCTCTTAGGAAGCTTGATAGCCAGCAGTTTTCACTGGATTTTYGTGGTGCATTGGCATTAACAGCTGCACCTGCAGGAGTCAGACTTGCTCAAAATACAAGGTCTATGATATAGTTTGTCAGTCATGCCTTAGGATGGTGTTAGTTTAATCTTATATTAAAGTATATTCCTCTGAAAACGTGATCTTTCCTTCTTAAAATCCTTCTCTCATTGTTTTACACTTAACATATGAGGTATGGGGAATGAGTGACACAGTGATAAAGAGACATGACTTTGCTGTACACTTTTGCCTGTTACTGTTTATGTCATGTGTAAGCTAAAAAGAGAGGAAAAAAAAAAAAGTGGCCCTCTAGGAAAAGACTGTTTTCAGGAAGATTGAGATACAATATTGTATTACACCTAATCTATTTGGTCTTTCTTTCCATAGTGAGAATGGCTTTGAAGAAGGTCTGAGTCTTTTGGGACTGGTGTCTGGGCTCTTCAGTGCCATGTGGTCACTTGGGTAGGTAAACAGTCACCTTTGGATAAACTGGTAGTGTTTGGCTGTTCGTTTCATGTGACGTTATTGTCACATGACAGCCTGCCATGTCACAGCTAAAAATCTTTCACTGCAGACACTATTTTGACCTGGATTCAAAGCAGTCTTCAAAACAGGTGTCTAGTGGACAYGTAAAAATATAAGTTGCTGCTCAACTGAGAGAATTGGCTCCATGAAATGTATTGCCCTTCATATCAAAAAGCTGCTGTGGATGTTAGTTCACCCTTCTGTGTGGTCATTTCTGTTACCATCTTTAGTGTTTGATATTTAGACAGATGTTTAACAGAGCTAAGTCCTCCCATGTGGAATGAGGTAGACAGCATCTGTGTCTGAGTAGCTTCTTTKAACCCTTCTCTCAGTTTCCACATTCACTTTCTTTTGTCCTGGATCGCTTAGGATATAATTTYGTCATCTTCTACAGCCCCAGCTATAATTCAAAGTCTGTGTTTCCTCAGCTTAGCAGAGCACATCTGAACTTCYTACCCAGTGATTGTAATAGAAGAATGTAATAGGTGTGAGGTGCTACTAGCAACTCCTTTAAGAGTTGTCACTTATTGGGAATGGACACAGACCTGCTTGACAGCCCTTCCAGCATTTTTTATTTATCAGTCCTCTGTGGCTGCTGCTGGATTTTAATACTACAAGTGACTGAACAACTAAATGTTGTTCAGTCATTGATGTCCTGTCAAGGACATTTTTAYAGAGGTGTGGAAGTACAGGTAGATAGATTATGTATAGCACAGCTCATAGTGACCACAGTGATAAAAACAGTATCTACCAAAGCCTGCCTTCTCACCTGCATGCATCCTTCAGTAATTTGTCTTGAAGCTTTGAAAATTTAAGTGTGGAAGGGTGAGGATTTAAATTTATTTTTGCAGCAGAAATGAACTCTGTAGGTATCCTGTTAAGGCATGGTCCTTAATGGAACCTCTGAGCAGTCCTGGATACAGAAAAGAGTGTATTCAGTGCTATGATGCAAATTCCTTCTGTAGATGAGGAGGTCACTAAGCATCTTTATTGAGGCCATGGCAAATACTGAATTGATAATTATTGTGAATTATAGGAAGAATTGGCCTATGGAAGAAAATCTGATGACAAACTAATGAAGGGAGGCCACGAGGCACAACATGCTGACAATTGTGATTTGTTGCAGGGCATTTGTAGGTCCCACTCTAGGAGGATTTATAGATGAAAAGTTGGGTTTTGAATGGGCCTCAGCCATCCAAGGAGGATGGCCACTGTTAAGTGTAAGTAATCAGAAACTTTTGACTGTTATATCTATTGCAACTGTAAGTTATTTCATTAGATCATTATTATTATGATTGACTCTTTCCTCAAAGGGACTTGCAATTGGGATATTCTATATCGTTGAGACCACAAGGAGAAGGTATGCTGAGAAATTTATTCTTTCTTTTACTTACAGTCTTATAAAGCAATTTTTTAAAGGTGTGTTTTCATTTTTTTACCTCACACTCAACACTCAGCCTCAACATGCTAATTACAAAATGATTAGTAAAAACATTGCTTAAATACTTTGCACTTTGTGCTSTACCAAATCACCACTGAGCTTGACAGAGACCTAAACCAAGTAATGCCCATTGAAGAAACAGGGCAAGCAGCAGGTCTATGACACTGAAGAGCAAATGCTACTGATAATTCCTCTAGGAAGATGTCTATGAGCTGTATTATGTCGTTAGGCATGACAGTTTTGAAAGCTGTTTCTTATATGTATATTATCCTTATTGCATGTGTGTGTGATAGAAGAAAACAAATTCAGTGAACCAAGCAACTCTTCCCATGTTTTGTCTGACTTTTACGCTATCGTATTAGTATTGTGTCTAGAGAATATTAAATATGATTCTTCCTCCTCTTATCTTCCCCTCTGTAAATACTTCTAGTTCCAGCCTTCAAAGTCCTCCTGGTAATACTGAAGAAAGAACTCTCCTGTTGGGCAGTGAAACGTAGCCAGATATCCTTTTGGATTCTCTCTTTACGACTGTGGTTTAACTTAGTCTTGAGATGAGTGGACTTGAGATGAGTGTTTCATTGTCCTCAAGTTGAGACACATGTGAACAACCAGTTGTAGTTTACTTGTAGCTGCATCTCTGTTCTGAAACACTGAACACAGACTACCTTTCTTTTTGGAAGTGCTCATGTGCATATGCTTAACTGATGAGTAATTCTCAGATGTCGGCTTGTTTAGCCGTGTTCCATGTACAGTGCACCACTGTATGTGAAGAGGTATATTGTCAAATGTCTGTCTTTTACACTTGAATCTGCTGTGAGTTATTCACACATAACACTACAGTTTTGCTACCATGTTTTTCTGTATCTTTTTTAAAGATGATAATCCTGTAATATTTCAGCTGATTAAAAAAAACTGTTGAAAAATAATTTGAAATGGTAAAGCATTAAACACAATGTTTTTTTCCAATAAAGCAAATATTTTTTTTCTGGAGTTTTAGGAACTTTCTTAAAGAGACAAGAAGAGCCTGACATACTTTGTGTCTAGCAGTACCTGTATAATGTCAAAGTGAGAGGTCCATATTGCTAATAAATACCAAAGGTTTGCACTAATTGCCTCTGCAGCAGAAAGTCCCTCTAAATTTAGGGCTGTCRTTCTCCAACACTTGTGTACAAAAAAATAACAAACCAAAAGAAAATACAAAGAAAAAAAAAATCATCCCTGCTGCTAACCAAAGAGCTCTTCCCCATGGAGGCTGATCAAAAAGGCAAGGCGAACTGAGGTAAGGATATGGCTGTGGAGCTGATGCTAGTCTTCGTCTTTCCACGTGGCATGAGTCTTATTTCTTTCTCCCAGAACCCACAACTAAAAGGGGTTTCTTATGGTAACCTTTTTTCTACAGCTAAAAATGGCTTATTTTCTAGTTCCACCAATTTTTAGTCAGATTCTTTTATTGAAAATAACTAGTGTCATTTACATGAGAAATACTTCAGAATTTTGCCTCCACCTGAGCCATTTTTGAGATACTGGCAAGGCAAACTGCCATGATACCCAGCYGAGCTCTGAAGGATCAGGGTAGCAAAGGGAAGGTCTTTTCTGAGAACATCCTAGCAATAGCTCCCTTTTGTACTGAGGTATGTAAGACTCATCCTATCATAAAAATACCACTACAGCCCCCGATGGGGGGTGAGGTAGAAAAAAGCTGTGAGAATCAGAGGTGGCTGAAATTTATGTTTTCTCCTGAAACTCAAACTCTGTCAAACTCCATGAGAAACCAGCCAGGCTTAACTAAACCTGTGTAGCTTTATGGTAATACATTTACTTTCCCTTCCTCATCCTTTCACATACCCAGTGGAGATGAAAGAAGGTGAAAGAAACCTCAARAGGAATTCTGGTTTCCAGATTTGTTAAAAATTGCCTCACAGTAGTGTTCTCCTGCCATGATCATCTATGGGCCCTAGAACCACGCTTAAAGGTTGACATGACAGAGCTGTGGGACGTCCTATGTGAAAATTAGGCATTTATTTTTCTTCTGCCTTTGAGCATTCCTCTGCTAGTGCTGTGATGTGTCACACAGCATATTTAAACAGGCAACTTGTTCTGTCAACACAGTAGTGCAACTTGGGCACTTGTGGATGAGGAGGGATGACTGGGCAGTCATCCCTGAAGTCCYGTGTCCCTCAGCTGGGCCTGAGCTCTGTGCACTTGGAGACAACTGGAAATGTCACAGAGCTTGGGGACAGCCTGCACTCTGTGCCACAGGATTTGACCAGGAATGTGTCTAGCCTGGTTTTTGTGAGATAGCTCAAACTCTTCAGTCCTGCCATGACTTGGGCTTACCTTCAATTCTCCTCACTCTAGAAATTCCTGTATTGCTTTGGTCCTGTATCCACATCTATATCCTTCTCAAATCTAGCAAGTGATGTGTTTCTTTAGCTGTACACAGAGGTGTCTGCTCTGCTTGTGCTGTAAATGCAGAATTGCTCCATTTTTGTGACTTGATGCCCTGCAACTTTCCAGACGTGACGATTGCACCACTCGGTGTTGTCTTTCTGGCGCTGCCAGGAATTGCCAGTTTTGTGCAAGACT